TTGTTCTACTGATATGGTTATCATATTCATTGATTTTCAACTGAAAGAAGTTTGCATCCCTGGGATAAATTCCACTTAGTCATGGTGCATAATTCTCTTTATATGTTGCTGAATTCTGTTGCTAGTATTTTCATGAGAACTTTGGGGTCTATATTTATAAGGGACAGTCTGTAATTTTATTTTCTTGTGATATGTTTGTCTGGTTCTTCTATCAGGGTAATACTAGCCTCAGTGAATGAACTGGGAAGTATTCTTTCATCTTCCATTTTTGGGAAGATTTTCTGAGGAATTGGTATAAATTCTGTCAACACTTGTTAGATTTCACTAGTAAAGTCATCTGGGACTGGGTTTTATTTTGTAGAAAGTATTTAAATTACTAATTCAATCTCTTTAGTTACTCAAATTTTCTTCTATATCTATTTTTGGAAATTTATCCCTTTATAGGAATTTACCTATTTCACAAAGTTTATCTAATTTATTGCATACAATTATTTGTGGTATTCCCTAAAGTACTTCTGCGGGTGGGTAGTAATGTCTCCTCTTTCATTACTGATTTTACTCATTTGAGTCTTCTTTCTTCTTGGTCAGTATTTTAGAGGTTTATCAATTTTATTGAACTTTTCAAAGAATAACTTTTGGATTTATTAATTTTCTTTATTATTTTTCTATTTTTTATTTCACTTACTCCAACTCAAATAGTATAATTTCTCTACTTTCTGCTGTTTGCTTTAGATTTAGTTTGCTTTTATTTTTCTAGTTTCAAAATATTCAAAGTTAGGTTATTGATTTGAGATCTTAGTTAATGGGTATTTACAGTTATGAGTTTCTCTCTATGCATTATTTTCACTGCATTCTGCAAATTTTTGATTCTGTGTTTTTGTTTTCATTCAACTCAAAGTATTTTCTAATGTGATTTCTTCCTTGGCTTATTATGTAAAAGTATGTTGTTTAATTTTTATATATTTCTGAATTTCCCAATTTATCTTCTATTAATTTTAATGTAATTAGAAATTGTAAATAGATAACATACTTTATGTTAATTTACTTTTTTTAAATTTATTGAGGGTTGTTTTATGGCCTATAATATGATTTATTCTAAAAAATAGTTCCACAAGTACTTGAGTAGAATATGTATTCTGATGTTGTTGGATAAAATATTACAAAGACATCCATTAAGTCTAATTGGTTTGTAGTTTTAAGTATTCAACTTACTTTTTGATCTGCCTCTTTGTTCCATGTATTATTGAAAATGAGCTAATGTCTCCAACTACTATTCATAGTCATATTTTTCTCTTCTATTATGTCAGTTTTTGTTTCATTATTTAGAGGCTTTGTTGCCAGGTGCATATACATTTATATTTCTTTGACTCTATTATGGATTAACCCATTTTTCACCATAAAAAGTCATTCTTGTCTATAGTAACAATTTTCACCTTAAAATTACTTTTCTCAAATATGTGTATAGTCAGTCTTCCTCTCTTATGGTTACTGTTTGTACAGTATACTGATTTTTACAATCCTTTACATTCAACCTGTTTATATATTTGAATCTAAAGTGTATCTCTTGCAAATAGCATACAGTTGAATAATGAGGTTAGGTTCTTCCATCAATTCTGTCAATCTCTGTTTTTGATTAGAATTTCAATCCACTTACATTTGCTGAGGTAAAATTTACACTTACCATTTCATTATGTTCTTTCTATATGTCTTAGACAAATTCTTTACTCCTCAATAATTGCTGTTTCATTTTAATATTTTAGTGTACCACTTTAAGTACTTCGTTATTTATTTTATTATATTTTAAGTTATTTTTAGTGGATATTCTTGGAATACAATTAACATTATAAACAATTTATTTCAAAAGTATAAAAGAGTACACCTGTTAATTTCAAAAATATACAAAAACTTTGCTCTAGTATAATTGTGTTCCCTTTCCTCTTTCTTGTGAAATTATTGTACAAATTATAACCTTATACATTAAAAACCCATAAACACAGTTTTATAATTATTGTTTTATGCAGTTGTATTTTAAATCAGATAGAAGGGAACAGGTTACTACAAACAAAAAATGTATTTACATTTCTTTTGTATTTATTTATTGACTTTTACTAGTGCTATTTATTTCTTTTTGTGGATTCATGTTAATATCTAGTATTCTTTCCTTTTTGGCTAAAGAACTACCAGTAACACTTCCACCAGAGAAGATGTATAGCAATGGATTTTCTCAATTTATTTTTTCAGGAGTGAATTTCTTCTTAATTTTTGAAAGATAATTTTGCTAAATATAGAACTTTTTAATTAATTAATTAATTTATTTATTTATTTTTATTTTTTATTTTTTTATTTTTTCAAATACAGAATTCTTGATTGACAATGTTTTTCTGTCAGCATTTTGAATAAGTTGCTTAGCTGCATTCTGATTTGCAAAGCTTCAGATAAAAAGTCATTGTTAGTCTTAATAAACATCTCATGTATTTTCTCTTACTGTGTTGCTTTCAAGATTCTTTAACTGGACTTTTGAAAGTTTGACTGTGACATGACTGGATGCATATCTCTTTGATTTTATCCTGCCTTGAATCTGTTGAGATCAAGTATGTATATTGATTTCATAAAATGTATATTTAATTTGTAATAAAATTCATAAAATTAAAAATGCTTTCTGCCATTATTATTTTCATGCTCTCTCTGCTCTTTTCTCTTTTTGAGACTTCCATTATGTTTATGTCAGTGTTGCTGATAGTGTCTCACAAAACTCTGTTCTTTTTCTTTAATCATTTTTCTTTCTGTTCCTCAAATTCAGTAATCTAATTGACCTGTCTTAATGTTTGCTGATTCGTTCTTCTGCCCACTCAAATCTACTATGGAGACCCTTAATTTTTTATTTCAGTTATTGTATTTTTACCTCTAAAATTTTTATTTGGTTCTTTTTAAATAATATCTATCTCTTTATTAATAATGTCTATTTGCTAAGATATTATTCTAATACTTTCCTTCTTTTTAGACATGAATCCTTTAGTTCTTTAAATGTATTTATAATAGCTGATTTAAAGTTTTTGTTTGTGTGGCTGGTTCAAGCACTACATTATTAAACAAGAATGAAAATAAAAAACAACTATCAACATGAGAGACTCTCATGGCAATATTAAGTTTAAAGTACATTGCAAATGGTATATACAGTATGATACAATTTATGTAGAGCCAGAACACATACAAAACTATCCAGCACATTGTTTAGTCACATACCAAGGGAATAATAAAAGACAACATTCAGGATACCTTTTATCCTTAGTGAGATCAGATGGTGATCTAAAAGGGAAATCAAATCAGAGAGAAACTGGCTCATATAAATGTTTTTTTCTTTTGCTGTATTGTGTATATTATGAATAGTTTTATATGTAATAAAATATTTTATTATAAAAAAATAAAATAAAGTTTTTGTTTAGTAAATCCAGCATCAGCGCTTCCTCAGGCAGTTTGCACTGACTACTTTTTTTTCAATCTGTGTGGGTCATATATTTATGTTTTTTCTGTGTGTCTCATCATCTTTTTGGAAAATTGAGCATTTTAAGTAATATAATGTGGCAACTCTGGAAATTGGAATCACTCTTTCTCCAAGGGTGTGTGTGGGGGACAGAGATATGTGCGTAGTTTCTGGATTTACTGTTTTTTTATATTGTTCCTGTTGCTGTATTTTGTTTTCGTATTATTTTGTTTTGTTAATGACTTCTTATAATGTGGAACTGAATCTCTGCTTGTTAGCTTTGTGTTCAGCTAATGGTTGAACCGAGATTGCCTGAAAGGCTAAATCAGCAGTATATTTTTGACTTTTTGATAAGGGTCTCTGTGTTTATATTGGGGCCTGTTTGACCTAAAATAACCTCAAATCTGTCCCACTTACATTAGTAAAACCTTAGTTTCAAAGCATTCATATCTATTTTTCTTTTCTTCCAAACCATAGGTGTCAAAATGCATGCCTAAAAGTTTTAAGAGCAAGTATTTGGAGTAGTGAAATGTTTTTTAGTTCAGGGACCCTTTGAGACTCTGATGAAAACCACATCTCAAGTCTCCAGAAAAATGCATATAAGTCCATGATTTTACCTGTAATTTTTAAGGGTTCAATTAAATTTATTAATCAGGTTAATAAGTATAAACAACATATTTTTATAAATATGAAGATATGTTGGAAGGGAAGAGATCTGGGAATGTTGAGGTTCCATTTACATACAGGAGAAGAAAAATATATCCCCAGAGGGGAAATGACTTGCCTAAGATTAGCTGTTAACAGACATGAGCCACATTCATGTCTTCTGACTCCAAGTTGAAGACTCCCCTCACCAAGTTGCCTTGAACCACAGAACCAATGGCAATTCTCTTTAGGTTCTCCTAGAATTTTGCAAGCCCTGAGTCACAGACAAGCTCTCACTACTGTGGCTTCTCCAACTTGCTCTGATGTATGTATCTAATTCCAAGGATCTTTAGGAAAGGGATATAAAGGGAAACTTGGCCTGTCATCCAACATGTACAAACTGCATTTATTTGGTTACACTGTGCTGAGAATCAAGGGATCACAGAAAAAGTCCAAGATATAGGACAGACAATCCAGCTTGAAGACAAGACTAGGTCACAACACATTACTGGAGCAACCAATATGGAGTCCAAGAGAGAAGAATAGAGAAGTTGGTGTGGATATGAATATAAAGACAAAGCTCCGTGGAGGAGAAGAGTAGATTGAAAGATGGGTAGAAACTAAAGACCTAGGAGAAAGAATAGAAGGTATTAGTGGAGAAGAAAGAGAATGGGCACTGTATAATAAAAAGCAGAGAAAAGGAAAGAAGTACACTGATAGGGAAATAGAGGATCAAGTCTGATAGAGAGTTGTCAGTGATTTTCTCATATACATTTCTATCATATGGAGCTTCAACATGCAGCTCCAGTTTGGTGTTCTTCTGGGGCCACCCATATAAGCTAATGATGTCATATGTCTGTTTGACTCTTCACAGCTTCCTTTTGCTGAAGGCCTGTACCACTTTTATCACAATGGTCTTGCAAAGGCCAAGAGAAGACGCAGCCTACACCACAAACAGCAGCTGGAGAGAGACCCTAGGGTGAGTTTGCTGGAAACCTACCTTTCAACTTCTGCGACCACATGCAAACTCATTGGGGGAGTATAAAAGAGGGCAGGCAGGAAATTTTGAAGTAAAGTCATTCAATGTATTGAGATGGGACAAATGGATCCTTAACAGAGTAGCACCAGGGACTCTTCATCTTGTGTGTTATTGAAAGGGTTTATTTAAACCCTTTATAGGGCTTGGAGAGTAATAAACAAGGATGTAACCTTTTACTGGCTGTCTTCTCCTGCATCATTGTTAGAGAACTTCTGATTGCCCAGGAACACATTTGGACATGTGATGTATGGAAAGACAACAAGCAGTTTAGCAAGTCATTTTATAGAAGGTTTCTGTGGGCAAATCCACATACTCTGAGGAGATTGTCATGCCCCATATAATGAATGGGGAAATGAGTGGGCTAGCAAATGACCAGCTCACAATTGACAGTGGGCTTCTCAGTATCCATTCATGGTTGCAGTTATGAGAGCATCTCCCCTTCTATTTTCTCACATGGACCTAATTTATCACCATATTTCAGCTGTCTTCCTAATACTCATGACCCTCATTTTTTTTTACCTCCAGTCTTCACCTTGGTTTTGAACTCCAGGTCTCATTTCCCTCTAGCAGCTTAAAGCCAACTTTACTGCAATCAAATTTATTTCCTTAGCCACAAAGCAGAAACTTTGTTCACTTCAGAATGGCAACTTTGTTCATCACTGAAGCCTTCCTCTTCAAATTTGTTTGCCATCCTATATATTTACTTGTTCAATTGGGTAGATCCTGATTTTCCTTATGCAATTAACTAAGAGGAAAGCTAATAATCCAGGAAAGTTGCTCTCTATACTTTGAAGCATTGAAGATGCATGACCTCTTTACTAGGACTCTTGAAGGAATGTGATGTAAAGAGGGTCAGGTGTTTGAGTTAGGGATTTACACCTGAGACTCCTTTTGAGCTAATGGAATTTGTAAATTCAGTCTTGCGGGACTCTTCATGTGAACACTGACTAGTTTTAACTGAACTTTAATTAGCAATGTAGATGAAACAGGCTCCCCAGCAGATCACCAACTAACATGTCACATGCAGTTTTTCTTTAATTCCTCAACCCAGGGAATCCCACATTCCCTGTATTGGAATTACACCCTGAGAAGCCACTTTATCTTTGTTTTCAGGGTAATATCCAAGCTGCCTATGCTGCCAGACAATGCCAAACACTCTCAAAGGGTCTGTTGTAGAAGCTGGAACCACCCTTTAAGGGAGAAGATCTCTTTTCTGTGTTATAAGAAACTTAGCCCTGACTATTCCAATTCAGTGCCCAGGGGTGCCCTTGGGAAGCTCATGGACAGGGATCCTGCCTTTCTTATTTGTGGATCCACGGTGGGCAACAATAGATAAAGACCATTCTGGTACACTATGACACTGGCTTTCCCTATACTTCATCTTGATCTTACCCTTTATGGCCAATTGTTTTCTTTTGTTTGTATATTTTCTTATAAGTCTCTTTGGTTTATCTTCTTTTGTGATTAAAGATGTTGTCCCAAGATCACTCACTGAGAAACATATAAAAGAAAATGGAGCAGAAGATTCTCGAAAGGCTTGGGCTGGGAAAGAGAACTGAGGAACAGCAAAACTAAGAAGTCATTGTTTGATTCAGAGAGACTTCTTGGGATTGGTAGACTAAGGTTTTCTTATTCTTGCACTTATTTAAAATGTTTTTTTGATATACTGATTCTTGAAATGTAGGATGATGTTTCCAAAAGAGAAGAAAATAAGATAGTTTGAGTAATAAATAAAACCATGCACTGGTGATTCTAATTGTTTGTCTTTCTCCTCAAAATATTATCAACTTTAATGAAAAGGGGTATCCATTCTCCCTTCACTGCCATTATAAGGGTCCTGGTAGCCCTCTGCCTCTCCTTGATAAAGGTAAAAATAAAAAATAGCAGGAAAACTGAAAATTACAAATCTGTACCTTTTCTCTGTCTTATCATTAAGGTTAAAGACCAAGGCTGTTGCCAATAGTCCAAGAAAAAATAAAGCATAAAATCTCATAATTTTTTGTTAAAAAAACACTTCTATTGATGACTGCCTTGTTTGAAATTAGATTAAGGCCTGAGTCTTTCCTGCATGATATTCTTGAGTCATCTGATTTTGATATTAGCTGATAGCAAAACATGGGGGTGACTACTGATAAACAAAAAGCATTAACAATGAACAGTGCAAGAGTATCAATGTGAGGACAAAAGGGCAAATAGGCCAAGTGTTAATATACCTCAGATTTTGGGTTTTCAAGCATATCCAAATAGGTGAAAAAGGAAAAGTAAATAAAAGTACAGGGAAATAAGAGGAATGACTAGAAATCCAGAGAGGATTATGATCCAGGTTTCTGTCTCTTGCGTAGATATTGCAAGTTACATTTCATGAATCAAGTCCTTAAAAGCAAGTTGTTCTACCATTCTCTTAAATGTGTTGTCTTCTACGCATACAAACTTTAAACATGTTTCCAGCCCCAGGTTTCTCCTTCTTCCTGTCTCTGCATTGCTTCTTGGCCTCTTTCTGGCTGTCTGTCCTCCAGCTTGTGAAGAAGAATGCAAAGCCCAAGTAAACATGCACAGAGAGCAGGAGAACTGAGCTGTTACAAGCTCCCAGGGCTGAACCCACATAGGTAGATTTTTATCCAAAGAAACTACCAAGAAGGTCTGCTACCAATGCAATAAATAAAGAATAAAAACATAGAGAACTAAGTTTGCTTTTGGTTTTGCTCTAACTTCAGAATAGAAATTTCAAAGATGTTTGCCCTTCATTTAGCAATTAATTTTTATGTTTAATGAAAACAAGAGAAAGACTATTAAAAAAATCATATGTGCTTTTTGTCCAGGCTAATAAAGTGCTGCTTTCAATTTTTCTATATATTTTTTAGCAGTACACAAAACAATAGAGAAAATATATTCTGGTGTAGATTATTTTAAAGGTGTTCACTTGCCTTTGCATTTCTTTCTGCTAAAAGGATTAGCAGAATGTTGAATAACATCATTTAGATTCTAAAAAGCAAAATTTATATCTTGCTTATTTCTGGATATCTTTGTATAATCTAGTTCTGAGTACATAGTATGTTAATAATTTCTCCCCAGAGTTTTAACTCATGGAATAATATTGTTTTTCTCATCTTATGTTCTTATTCCTATTGTAAAATGTGCATCCATATGGAACAGAAGTATAATTTACTCTTCTTTTAGATACATTTTTAATTATGAGTAAAGAAAACGAACTACTGTTTCATTACTTCCAAGTCTTGCCACTAAGAATCCTATAAGGATCAGTTTTTAATTTCCAAAGTCTAGAACACTATATTCTTGATCATATTTGCAGTCCTAATACAACCACTGAAGCAAGAACAATATGTTTAGAAAGTTTTGGTAGTTAAAATTATTTGAATATGTAACACATACATCCAAAGTTTGAATGAAAAATAAAATTAAAAATCTTTTCTCAGCATCAACACAAAGAATAAATATCCTCAGCCCAAAACGTTTAGGAGATTTGTTAAACTTTAGTTAAGAGTGGTGTCAACAAATATTGACACCAAACCTAATTGTGATCCATGGTCTACATACCAAACCACAAAAGTTCTGCAAGGATATAAAATGAAATGGAAAATAAATGTATTTAATGTGATATTTGTTCACATTTCTGTCAAACTATATTTATGTATCTGATGACACAGCACTGAAATGAAATACATTTAAAAACATAAAGACTTATGCTGTTCAATGAGCAACATACGCTACCATATGGAAGTCCAATAACTTAACAAAAAAAAAAAACCTAAACTTTATTTGTTGAGTGCAGTTATATTTATTTCAAGAATTATAAATGTTTATTTTTTTCCTATGCAATTTCACTAGATCATACAATTATCCCTTAAAATCATTGTTAAACCTCTTTTAATTTTACAAATCAGAAACTCTTATCAATCTACTGAAAACTTTCTGTTCAAACCTCAAGGAATAGATGTTTTCCTTTACATTCTATATATGAGAGCTTCTTCCTTATCCATATGTGTGTGCATAATGATCATAGATGGCAGCCACATGGATTATATGATCTGTTTTTTGTTTTTCAAAGATCTATTCTGAGGTTACCTGTGAAGTTTTAGGGTACTCCAAAAACCCACAGCAGTTAGTTTCCTTGGATAGTTCTTCAAAAATCTCATAGAACAATACCATCAGAACAAAAGAGAGTATTTCCTATTCTTTAAAATTAATTGGACATAACTGGTGTGATTTTTTTATAAACATCTAAATAATGCATGAACTAGGCTTTCTTTATCAATGGGACTTAATAATTAAATAATTGATATTGTTTTTAAAAATGAATTTATTATCATGGTTGAAACTCAGGTGGTTCACAGAGCTGGGGATTGCTTATAATTACTTTAGGCCCTTTTCTGATATGACACAACAATGCTTTTAGGTCTAACTCAGATGTGATAATTTAGCCGTGATTGGTGAACATTTTGTACAGTGGTACATAGACTTAGATAAGTAAGATTAAGCATAAATGACATGGAAAATATGATTAGAAGGAGCCCGTGAGATGATCAGAACAATAACATAGCAATTTATTCACAATCCACATAAATCTTTATGAAAGCAATACTGGAAATTCAGCAGTTCATTGCAAACAAAGAAATTATTTACTCTCCTCCTCCACAAGTTACAGAAAATTTTCTCATAATTGCTAAACTCTTAGCTTCCAATCTTTCTCAAATACCTAATGTCAGTCATAGTATTTTTATGATAATGACATGCTACTTGTATATATTGTCTTCCCTTTGATAACTATTTGATCACTTAGATTAAAAATTAGGAAAAATAAGGAAAAGCACCATTGTCTTTTGGAAAATCTACTTTCAAATAGAAATTGTCATGGAGAAAAATGTCTTTCTCTACATTTTTTTGTGCAGGGAGTGTGTTGACTAAGCCTTTCTCCAGTGGCT